TAATATCTATTATAGTTCTTTATTTTTCTCCTTTATAAAATAAGGATAAAATAATTGAAAAGATAAAGATAAGATAAGAAGAGAAAGAAAATGAAAAATGAAAATAATAAATACATTTATTACATTTTAATGTAAAAATAATATTTTCTTATTTTTTAATAGATTTTCTTCTTCTCAAAAAGAAGAAGAAGAAGAAGAAGAAGAAAGTTTCTTCTATAATTAAAACAAAAATGAAAAATTTTAGTGCTTATTTAATTTTTAAATGTAGTATTTTATGTAATATATATAAATTATTCATTATTGGATATATAGATTTTCTTTATACATAGGGTAGCATTTTTATTTTCTTTTTTAATATAAATTTTATTAATTGTTAATCTAATAACTAAATAATTTTTACCTTATACTTAATTCTTATTTAATCGAATTCATAATTCTTAAAAATTGAAGTTAAAAAGTATCAACTATTATTTTAATAAAAAATCAAATCATAGTTATTCTTAATATGCAAGATCTATATGAAATATTATAAAATAAAGAAAACTACTTAACGATTCTTCTTTTTTTTTTTTACATAAATCTTTACCAACTCTTTTTTCTATAATTACTTAATTTGTAAAATTTTATTTTATGGTTTTTTTATCCCTTCTATCATTTCCAATTTCCTGTCATTTTCTTTTTTTTGTTTCTATTCTTTTCTCTAACTTGTATGGAAACTATTATGATATGTTAATATAAGTGTTCAAATCAAAGTTACAAAATATATATATATATATATTCGGAACTCACCATATTAGTAAAAAGAAATTATAGAGACAAAGAGGAGAATATGATATATTAGTATAAAAAAGTGACTAACGATTAGAGGTAGGGAGGAACATGAAAGATAAGAAGATGGAAGGGCATAGAGAAAAATCATGGAAAAAAGATGTTATCAAAGATCATAGGAGGGTATGCATTTATACATTTAAACATTGACTCTTCATTTTCTTCATTTAGGAGTTTTTAAATATTTAAACTTTTGGTTTTTTATATTAAGATAATGTTGCTCCATCTATCACATTTATTTATCAATTATTTTTATCAGTACAATTTTAAATCATTTACCTATCTATCACATTTATTATCCTATAATTTTCATTTATTTTTGTCATTTATTTATTATTTATAATTTTCATATATTTTGCATATTTTATTTCAACATTTTAAATTAATATAATATTATATTTTAAATAAATGCATACCTTATTTAATGAAATTGG